GTAGCGACAAAAACCTGCGGGGAACTCTGCAAAAAACGCATCTTCGCACGGGCAGCCCGCGCGTTGGCCATTTATTGCATTTGCATAACAGGAAACAAATATATGCTAAGAATACCAGGAAAGCTCGGAGTACCCACATTCTATGGATCCCCTGTTAGTGATGTTACTGGAATGTTCTCACACGCCGCGAGTGCAACTGTGTTAGGTTCCTCAACCCTGAGTTGCATGGCCCTTGTTAGTACTTACTGCCCGTTCTAATAGATGGGCAATTTTCCTATCAGTAGGGAAAAAAGCAGAAGTAGCAAGAAAAAGAGAAAGGAAAACTGTTATTAAGTTAATGTGTCCTTGTGTCTTATATTATTTTGGCACGTACTTTTGTTAGTGCGTTGTAGCTGCTCCTCGACGTAATTCTTTGCATTCTGAACACTTTCATCGGAAGTGACATCCAATTCGAATGCATGCAAAATGCCACCTCGTCCGTTGCACTCCTCCGTCAGCGATTTCACACCCTGTAACTCACCGAAGATCATATGTAGTTCTTAAGTCTTAGTATGAGCGACAAATTGCTCACTAATAAATTTGCAAATTGGAATTTGAGAGGAGGAAAATTGCTTTATCGAACCTCTACAGTCCGACAGCCGGCAAACACCATCAGGCCGTTATCCAGACATTTCAGCACAAACGCTCGTCCAAAACCTGAAAACCATTTGTAATCAGAACCCTCAACTAATAATAATGGTTTTATTCTGGTCCTGGTCGAAATCGGGAGGGTACTATTGACTGATAGCCGATTGCTGGTAAAATAATTAATTGTTACTGATTATTTCTACGGACTAGTGTTAGCATGTTTGTTGGCGCTGGAGAGATTCAGGCCACCTTCAGTATTCTTCCCAGGCCATCTTTAGAGAAAAGCAACTGCTTAGCAATCTTGCCCGCTTGGCTTTTTATGATTAAATCATCACAACGGCTTTGAAGCGGCGTTGTTTCCATTGGCGGATAATCTGCGAAAAAGCCTACGGATGAAAAATATTGCGTTTACGCAAACAGCTGTCTAAACATGTCGCCCGTATTATTTTTATGCACTTTTTGTAAACACCAACAACCGCTCAGCAATATGCGTTTTACGCCTGTGTTTGCGTGTGTATGTATTTGCGTTTGTTTGTGTATATTTGTGTGTATGTGTTTTTGTGTGTGTGTGTGTGTGTGTGTACGCGCGTGTACCTGTCCGTATATTTCGATTCCCCGATCTATGAGAACCATATAACTGAAATTTTGGCAACTTAATTCATCACCTTGGATGGGTTCCTAGACGTAGATTGAGTGTTTACACTTTCTAGTCCTTTTTAAGTGCGAACTTTGGTGGAACTTTGATGCAGACAATTTTGTAATTAATTGTGCAAAAAAATACGTGTTTGCTCGATCCCTTGTCACACACCTAATTTATCACTTTTGTGTTTTCCAGTTTTGAATTTATTTTTATTTTGGTAATGCAGTAGTGTTTGATGCATTTATTTATTTTTATTATGGTAATGCAGTAGCGTTTGATGCATTTTATAATTTCGCC